GGGCAATATGCTGACTCTCTGTAAACTGCTTAGAGAGGGCTGAAAGCCCTATGAAGCGGTATATAAGTCTACTGCTATTGCTATTGCTATTCAAGAAGGGCAGGGGAACTGCGGGACATAACAGTGAGCCCTTCTGAGGCCGAGAAAGCAGTGAACTCTCTTGTTGCTGCTTCCTAGGCACTGTAGTTGCCATGATGGATTCCATCCTTCAATACAGCCACATGGCTTCTGGACCAGTTACCTTTCATGGTGGGAGTGGTGCGGGAGACCTTCTTCCTTTGCCTTGGAGACATTGACAGTCCTGGCTGAAAAGAGAAGGAAGAGAAAGTCCTAAGAGATACAAAATGCCAAAATTCAGGTGCAATGTATAATCTTCCAGCCATGTGTTGCATCTTAGCTCTTGCTACTTGCAGAAGGAACCAAGAATGAATGAAAAAAAAAGAGTCCTTGAAGACCTGGAGTTCCAGCTTCTTCTTTGTGATGGGCACATAATCTGGTGATTACCATTTTCTTGGCTCATGCCTTTGCTTGACAAGCTAGAACCAGCCCAAGCCCTCTTAGCTTGTATTCCCTTTTTTCAAGTTTATGATCTGCAGAGGTCTATAATTCTCCCCATTCCCATGGAACAGTGGGGAAAAAACATAGAGTAAAGAGCAGGGGTGAAATTCAACCGGATCAGACCAGCTCAGGTGAACCGATAGGGATGATTTGAATCATTTCACCAAACTGGTAAAAATCACCCCTGGTTGGCCCTGCCCACACCCACCCAGTTGCCTGCTCAGTCACGTGCTTGCTGCTCGCTCAGACCTTTCAGTCGCTCAACCCGCCCACCCAATCCAAACGTTTCTCCCTCCATTCACAGCGGAGCTGCTGCAGCCTGTCCCTTTGAGGTAGTTCCCGGGAGGGAGGGGGCCGGGTGGAACCATAAAGGGAGCAGCAGCTCCACTGTGAATGGAGGCAGAAAAGTTCTCCTTCTCTTTGCCACAGCATTCACTATGAGCCCTTCTCGTGCTCATACACCAGTGGTGGGTTGCAGGCGGTACGCAGCAGCCACCGTACTGGAACGGTGCTTTGGAGGGCCCACCCACCCGCCCTCGTTCCTTACTTGTATTTGAAGGAAACAGGCCATTTGCGCACGCACGGGCAGCATACAGCACCTGCACAATGCTCTGCCGAGCAGCAGGAGCATCATAGGCGGTGGGTGCGCATGCATGCACAGCACGCATGCCCATGGTGCACGCCTGGCTTCTGTTACAGTGTACCAGTTGCAGCGGGAGCCAAAATCCACTACTGTCATACACACATTTTTCCTACCGGGTTCTGTGGGCGTGCTTGGTAGGGGAGGGGAAGGGTCATGTGACTGAGTGGGCATGGGCGTGAGTGACATTGAGTTGGCCATGCCCACTCAGTCACAGGAAACCACCACCACCACCACCACCAAGCTTTGCCCACAGAACCAGTAGGGAAAAAATCTGAATGTCACTCCTGGAAAGAGTATAAGGTTTTTGTCTAGCTTGAGCTCTTGTCCCTTTAGAATCAGACATGGAGATCACCTCAGAAATACAATTGAGGCTACAAGATCAAGATTGGGAAAATCTAGAAAACCACAGAGAGGCAGCAAAGGGCTAGATTTCCTGTACTTCTTTGCTGCCAGCTAGTGTTCACTGGGAGACTTTAAGTAGCCGTAAAATTAATTCCATCTTTTCCCATTATTAAAGCTTATTAATTTGAGCAATGACAGTAAAACACGTTTCACTCCAATGAAGGCTTTGTGTGTGGCACTCTAGGAACTAGTGCTCCGGTCTTCCTGGCATGCTGAAATTTCATCTTTCACTTTTAGTTCTTAGTAAACATTTTTTTAATGGGAAGCATGTACATTCGTACAGGAAATGTATCCCCCCCTCCTTCCATCATCATCCTGAATGGTTTTCATGTATCACAATATTATTCTGCTAAATAGCAGTAGACTTAGCAGTAGACTTATATACCGCTTCATAGGGCTTTCAGCCCTCTCTAAGCGGTTTACAGAGAGTCAGCATATTGCCCCC